TAATATTTAATGAAGTCTTCTAGAGACTGTCTGAACAATGACTCCCATTAAATACAACTTATTTTCTTTAACATAAGAATTTTGGGGAACACATATATATCTCTAATGCTCTTACCTGGAAATCTGAATCTCAAATTCCACTGTGGCATCTTTACATTTAAACAAATTTGAACACAGAAACTGCATACTTACATAGGATATTAAATTTAAACATTACGGTCTTCTTTTTAAAGAAAATAATTTAGTCTTACAATTTCAAAAGTGACAAAAGTGTAAAGACTTTCTCTGCCCATTTGCCCTAATATGGAGGGAGGTGAAATGGAGATTGAATTGAGGGGTAAGGTATTAGTCATCTGTGCAACTCTAGAAAGGTAACTTAAATTCTGGGCCTCTTTCATTATCCATCATGGAGAGTTTGATACATGCCAAGCTCATCTCCAGGTCATTTTCAGTTGTACCACTTTATGAGGTCACAGGCCAGGGACTAGGTCTTAACACAGCTCTGTAATTCCCTTCTCCACCCTGGATCTAGTAAAGCCAGTCATGGAGCCTCCCAGTAATTGCAGAATAAACATCTGCAAATTAAACAAAGTGGGGTTCATTATTCAACCAACCAACACACACAAATAGTGCATTACAAGAATTTCACGTACGATCATTCAGGAGCTCTTCAAATCATTCAAGGTCAACCTCCACACCCACACCATAAGTCTCAGATACTGTTGCTCTTAACAGAGTCCTCCTTCATCTTGCTGCCCAACTCCCCTCAGCCTTGTCCACACACTGCCTCACCAGTTTCAGGCTCAGGGGTGAAATGTGTAGTAGGAAATGAAACCCAGAAGTATTCTCTATTTTCAAAAGTGAAATTTAGATTAGAATCACATTTCGTTAGTAGAAACCTCTCTCAGAAGTCTATTGTTGTTTGACTACTATAGCCCCTTCTCCATAGGTTAATCCTGTCCATTATAAAGAGCTGGAAAATAATTTAGTATTTTAGATGCTCGTCCCTTTTTCTGACCCTGCCAACTATTGGGCATTCTTTCTCATCCAGCTAATGAGAGGAAACTAGAAAGATGTGGGAACAACAGTCCCCTAGTGCCTCCTTTGTAGTAGCCTGGTCCACATGTGACCAGCAGGGTCACTAGTGTGACTGTCTACAATAAGAGTTTGGATTTCACTATCAGGTTCTTGGTATCACCAATTATCAGGAGCTATGCAGATTTTCTTACTTTCTCCTTTTGATTTTAAAAGTTACTTCTGAAAGAAGTATTTTACTTGGGCAGGGATAATACCGGTATATGCAGGAGATTAAATACAAATATTATAATCAGGATCTTTAGGACACATTATGTTAAGAGATCTCACCATTTAAAAATGTCTCCCTGAAAACAATCCAATTAAAAAATGAGCAAAGGATTTGAGCAAACATTTCTCTAAAGAAGATATACAAATGGCCGATAGACCCATGAAAAGATGTTCAACATCACTAATGCTTAGGGAAATGCAAATGGCAAATACAAAGAAATACCAATTCATACCCATTAATATGGCTCCTATCAAGAGCAGACAAACAAAAATCCCTGAGAAATAACAAGTGTTGGTGAGGATGAGGAGAAACTAGAACTCCAGTGCACTGCTATGGGATTGTAAACTGGTACAGCTACTGTGGAAAACAGTATGGTCATTCCGCAAAAAATTAAATAGAATTACAATTTGATCCAGCAATTCAATTCTGGGTACCCAAAAAGAGTGAAGGCAGGGACGCAAACAGATTAATTGTACACCCATGATCATAGCAGCATTATTTATAATAACTAAAACGTGCAAGCAACCCCAGTGTCCAACAGATGAATGAATAAATTGTGGTATATACACACAATGGAATATTATCCAGCCTAAAAAAAGAAGGAAATCCTGACACCTGCTACAACATGGATGAACTCTGAAGACATTATGGTAAATGAATGAAGCCAGGCCCCAAAAGACAGATACTGTAGGATTCCACGTGTATGAGGTACCTAGAGTAGTCACATTCAGAGACAGAAAGTAGAATGGGGGTTGTTAGGGGTTGTCAGGAGGAGCAAATGGGGAGTTATTGTTTTGTGGGAATGGTTTCAGTTTGAGAAAATGAAAAAGATCTGCAGATGGATAAGTAGTAATGGTTATACAACAATGTCAATATACTTCATGCCACAGAAGGTTTATTTAAAAATAGTTAAAATGGGAAATTTTATGTTATACATATTTTACTCCAATTAAAGAAAAAAGTCTCCTGGAACCTTGGAGGTAGTGGCAAAGGTGGAGAATATGCTAACTTTTCCTTATGCCACCAGGGAAGGAAAACTGACATCTGAGTACCTACTACGTACCAGGCACTCAACATGGTCATACACTAAAGCAAAACCAAAACACAACAACAACAACAAAAAACAAAAAAAACAAACCTTGATTATGTACTATTAACTCCTCTTTACAACGAAGAAACTAAGGTTTATACGTTAACATACAGGGGCAAATAGTAAAAACCAGAGGTAGGATTCAAAGGCAGATCTGCCTGACTCTGGAAGCCCGTGTTCTTTTCACTCCATGATGTTCTTTTATTCTACCCACAGTTGTCTTTTTGAACTGGCTCTCTGCTTTGACGATACAGCTTTTATACTTAAAAGTTAGACCTGCCTTCTGAAGTGGGCTAAACAAGTCAGTCAACCAAATACATTCACTATGTGCCCACCATATGAGGCCCAGGGCTGGCCACGAAATAATGGAGTCATGTTTCCACTCAGCCATTGGCCATATGGCAGAAAAAAAACATACGATTAAAATTTCAGCTTAGGTCGACTCCCTCAAAAGCCCCTGAATACTCTGGGCAAAAGTATTAGGTCTTTCAATATTCCATATGGCCAGAACAAGTGGAAAGAGTCTCATTTTATAGCACTGGAGCTTTTTTATCTTTTTCCTAAACCTTCTACCATCACAGTTACTGATCAGCTGTTACTCACTAATGTTGTGCTTCAAGATGGAATTGAACAATTAAGGAAATGTTTTGTGTGCTGCAGAAAATAGGCAGCTCTCAGCTGTTTTGTGAAAGAGAACAGGGGGCCCTCTTGACTCTCCTGCGCCTAAGGGCCAAGGTTTCATTTTCTTACTCTTTTGTGAAACACACAGGGAAGAATAACGCAGATTGTCTACACATCCCCAAACAAAGCAGGGTGTTGGCAGGATCTAGTGAATCCACAGCCTGTAGGTGAGTAAGTACCAAGGGTGAGCCCCATCTTCATACAGCCCAGATTCCCAACTTTCCACTTCATTTAATGACCCACAGCTTGATCATGGAACTTCAATTAGGAGCATTCTAGAGCCAAGGTCTACCCTCCATCTCCTCTGTGGAAGATTATCTTTACATATTTTTTACTTTAGGAGGGAAATGGGAAGTGCAACTGTGAAATACATGGAATGACTTATCTTGCCTACAGGTTTGATTAAATTCAATGAGTCCACAGGGAAACTCCATGGTTTCAACACCAGCAATATTTTGCCCCTTAGACACAGAACAAGTTTAATTTAATAAGTAACCTCAGAAAAGTAGACATTTTTTTCTTTAGTACCTAAAGATTCTTATCTCTGAAAATGTGCCGCTACACCACAAATTTTGAGACGCCAAATCAATTTCAGAAAGATGGCATTAAAAAAACAGACCTTACAGCTCTTCATAACTGAGAATGGTGATAAAGGAGGAAGCATATACATTCTCAATGGCATAGTGTTTAAAAACCTATATTTTAATAATATGAGGGTCTAAATATGACCTTTTTACTATTTTTACTCCACTATAAGCAATTCTTTCTTTCCTTTGAAAATTTATCTCCTCTCATTCTAAAAATTCAAGAGAAAACCTTTTATCAATGACCATTTATTGCTCACCCACACTTTCCGTTGGAGACAAAGCTCAGTTTCTTAAATCATGCTTCACTAGGGTCTTAAACTCTTTCTCCTACATATCCTGCCAAAGAAATCTCACAATGTCATTTTCAGTCTGTTGGACCTATTTATTGGACTTTTACATATCATTCATAAATTAGAACAAGTCATGGTTATGGACTCTCATTAACAGGATCCATTGCTCAAGATAATCAAAGAACAAAAATTGCATTCTGATTTTACTATCTGGCTCTGGTTACGGGGTACACAGGTTAAGGAAATAACCCAGCTCCACTTTCACATTTTGTCCCTCACTGAGGTTAATATGCACCTTGACCTACAGATGAATAAAATCCATATAAACATCAAATCCATACATATCTGATTCTGGACAAGTTAAACCCGCCACGCTCCTTTGAGAAAGGATGCAACTTCAGGAGGAGACCCACCGGCAAATGGTAGCTATTTCTGAGGCTATCCTAAAAGCAGCGGCACAGAGCAGAGGGAGGAAGATACCTTTTTTAAAACGGTAAATACTGCCCCTCACATACGCAATTGCAGTCTTTGTTGGCAAATTCTGAGTACGAAAGGATTTAACCAAAAAAAAAAAAAAAGAAAGAAAGAAAGAAACAAGAAAAAAAAAAAGCTCAGTCACAGTCATTATACTGCAAAACAGAAGACACCTCAGTGAAATATGTAAGAAAGACAATGCAACCAACATTTTCCGCCACTTACACCCTTAAAATGAGGGGACTGCAACGATCAAATGATGAGCCCACAGCTTCAGAGCCCCAGTTGATTTCAACTGATGCCTGCTTTTCTTCCAAGAGGTTGCAAACGGTTCCTTGCATGTAGCAATGCTTTCCTGACGAATGATCAAAGCTAGGCGCTAAAGATATTTTAAGGCAAATGTGCCACAAATTTGGTCATTCTCCAAAGCCCTTCTAAAAGAACGCATCCTAATCCTTTCCCCCAATCCTGAAGCAAAGTCCCTCTCTTCCCTTAGCAATCTGCCCTGAAAACCGCAGGTGGTGGTCATTTTCTCACTGAAAAAGGAGCAAGCTGAGAAGCGTCCCCTTTACCTTGGCGCCCGCGGCGGGTCGGAGAGTGGCTGGTGTCCTGTGTGGGAGCCGAAGTGTGCAGGCGAGCCCCGGCGCAGCCCGCCCAGCGCAGCCCGCCCAGCCCCGCGCAGCGCCGCGCCGCCCAGCCCAGCCCAGCCCAGCCCAGCCCAGCGCAGCCCAGCCCAGCCTAGCCGTAGTAGGAGCTGCCACGGAGCGCCGCCGCTGTGCGCTGTGCGTGTGTAGCAGCGGCGCCTGCAGCCCAGGGACTGGTCCCCACCCAGCTTTGTCTTCAATCATCGTGCTTTCTACAGGAAGCAGCGCATCTCCCACTTCCTCCTCTTCTTGGTAGCTCTTAGCCGCTTTCTTCTTTCCCTCTCGTTGAAGCTCGGGCTTTCGCCTCCTCCTGCGCTGCTCGCATGTAGTGTGCCCAGAATCCCTCTCCCCCTTTGTTCCATGTCCCTCTGGTGCCTCTGTTCCTTCCTTCCCCTTCTCATGCCCTCACCTCCACGACAGCTTCCAGCGACTGCCTCTCCGGCCCCCCTTCCCCACACGCAGGCTGCTTCTTAGCCTGCACTGGCCAGTTGTTGTTGATGGTGCTGCTGCTGGTGGTTTTGGGGGGTCCACAGCCCCTGGCCAGGTTCGGGTCCTGAAATCCAGCACCAGCTTCAATGGCTGCTCCTGATTGACTGTAGTCCCTAACAAGGCAGCTAGCTGGGAGCCTGCAGCTTGCAGCTTCTAGCTGCACCATTTCGCTCTGTGGCCAACATTCCAGCCGCTTCATTTCTCCAAGGTCCCACTACCACTGAGATCTTACTTAACCCACATGCTCAGGAAGGAATGGCCCTGATTTAAGTATCCTTGTAGGGCACGGGAGCCAAACAAAGTCCTCCACTGCTACCTGTAGCCTAGCAGTGAAGACATATTCCCAAAAGTTTCTCCGGGGCTGTGAAGGAATGGTGTGTATTCCCAGCCTAGGAATAGATCTCTGCCCCTGCCCCCCACTCCCCCCCCCACACACTCACACTGGTAGGGCTCTAGGGACCCTCACGATCCTCTAGTCCTTTGCCCTCACCTTAGGACACATTGTAATGTTATGGGTAAGGGAGTCTGTCTACCAGGATTGGAATCCAAGCTGTCATTACTGACCACATGCACTTGGGTAAACTTCTGTGGTCCTTGACTTCCTCATCTGCAAAATGGAGAGGATGATAGTCCCATGCCACAGCAGAATGTGAGGATTAAATGAGATGTACACAAAATGCTAATAGTACCTGGGATTTAAGAAGTGTTCAGTACGTATTAGCGGATGTGGAAGCTCAGAGACAGCAAGTGACTTTGATAGTCAGCAGTCACACCAGGACCTGTCCTTGGTTTCTGGATTCCCCGCAGTTAGTATATTCACCACTAAACCCCCATGCACTTGGTGACAATTTATTCAGCTTGTAAGTCACTCTCCCCTCAATATTAATACAAGGTGCTTTGGGGAAGCTACAGATTAAACGTGGCCTGGGGGCGGGGGGAAAATCCTTCCAGGTCCAGGCAGCGCTGTTAAGAAACCTCTCTCTAGGCTTCAGTGCATGGAAAGTTAATTCTCCCTAGCCCAACTCCACCTTTTTAAATCCAGTCTTGCCTTAACCCTCCAGCAGGTACTCCTAACCCACCTTGAGACCACAGCACATTAACTTGGAAGGTACAGGATTTAATTTCTATGAAATATTCTGAGACAGTCCTAGTATACCCTGTGTTTTGAATGGACGTTCCATGAACAGAGTTTGCTTTTCTTTCTAGAAATCTTTGATCAAAAAGGACCCCGATGTCAACTAACATTAGAAAATTACAAAATAGATTTTTTTTAAAGATTTTATTTATTTATTTGAGAAAGAGAGAGAATGAGAGATAGAAAGCATGAGAGGGAAGAGGGTCAGAGGGAGAAGCAGATTCCCTGCTGAGCAGGGAGCCCGATGCGGGACTCGATCCCAGGACTCCAGGATCGTGACCTGAGCCGAAGGCAGTCGCTTAACCAACTGAGCCACCCAGACGCCCCCAAAATAGATTTTTTTAAGATTAAAAATAAAGAACTACTTTTGAACCACCAGCAAACAGAATTGTAGTAGGGGGAAAGAATGGACACAGATGCCCACTGTGTCCAGCAACCCAATGAAAATGAGACATGAATTAACTCCAAATCACAAATCTTCATGTCAAAGGTTACCAGGAGCTTTTAAAGAAAAATTTAAATACAGTATATGTGATACAAGGCCTAAAAAAAATGAGAAGCACAATTACTGGTGACTGGAAAGATTATGGAAACAAATCTCTGATTAATTTTAGACTAGTGGATTTTGGCGTTAACTCTGGATTCAAACAGTTCCCTCATTTTTTTTTTAATCCTCTCTCCCTTTCTCTCTCTCTCTTTCTCACATACTCTCTCAACCGGTAGAGAGTGGTTGGTACTTACCTTTACATCTATGTAGGAAAATCTCTTTCAGACAATGAAATCTGCCAGGAATTTGGCCTGTTGCCTTCTAATTAGCTCTCCTACGTCTGGCCCTTAGAAAACTCTTAGTAGGTTCACCTGGCCATTGCTGTGAACTTCCACACAACCTCCATTCACAGCTGAAAACTAGATTTTAAGATTTTTCTCTTTCTGTCATTAATCTCACTGCTTTCAACTGGTCCTAATAGCCTCTTTTTCTGGAGAAGAAAGAAAAATATGGGGGTGTAGCTTGGCCAAGAGAGAAAATTAATCCAGTACAGATCTCTTAACACAAGCATGGTAAGTACACACTAAGTCTACAAAGTGTTCATTTCTTAGGAGATGTAATTACATCTCACCATTAGTAGTACGTGCCATTCGTAACTAAATATGAGCCTATCCTTGATGCATTTCATCAACGCATAACACAAAAACCTGTAAAATACTCCACCTTTCATCAGTGGCCCTAAATGTAGGCATTGATACCTTGTATTTCTTACATCCACCATGTAGAAGAGGTTGATGGTCATAAAGAGGCCATTGTTTTGGCCTGATATCTCTCCTGTATTACTGCACACTCTAGCTGAATGTCCCTTGAAGTTAACATTCCCCAAATTTTATATATTGCCTCAACTAAAGCATGTTCTCCTTTCCATAGTCTCCATTTCATGTAATGAGGAATACAAACCAGTTGCCCACAGAAGGAATATAGGAAGACCATCAAAACCATTTGTCTCTGTTACCCAGTGTCCAATTGAAAGTTCCACATCCTTTCGTTCCCACCACCAAACTATCCCCTTGACCAAATCCCTCCCATTTCCTTGCCATGGTCTTATTACATAAATGCTTCGCTCTCCCCTATGACTGCAAGACTCCTTACTTTGTCCTTCTACCTCCAGTCTCTAAGCTATGCCCGCTAGAAGTGCAGTGCTAAAACAAGCAGTTGATACCGTCACTGTCCTACTGTACTTTGTCAGTATCTCCCCTCCCCATTACCCACAGGACACAAGTCTTAATTCCTTCACCTGGCACACAAGGCCTTGCAGAATGTCACCCGACTACACTCTTCACCTTATTACCCAACCTGCTGCAAGCCCACCTCCATGGCATGCTTCTCATGGGACCGTGGTCTTTTCTCCTCTGCATCTTGGCATATGCTCTTCCTTTTGCCAGAAACGCCCTTATTCCTCCCTCCATTTGGTCCGCTGGCAACCCCTCCTCATCCCTTCAGACTCCGCTTCACTCAGAAGCTTACTCTAAGCACACACGCAGCACCGGGCGTTTCCTGCTGGGAGAATTCACGGTGCCTCGAGTCTCCCTCTGTGTCAGCACGAACTGCCTGGCTTTGATGAGTTGTTATATGTCCACCTCACCTGTGGCTATTTGAGCCCCTTAAAATTAGGGCCATGTTCCATTCATCTTTGCTTGTCACAGAGCAGGTGGTGGACAGATGTTTGTATAATAAAAAGGCATCGTTGGCAGAAATTTCAAACCTGCCTTTGTATTCCTGTGGGTCCTGAGCTGGGGAAGAAAAGGGAAAGGTCTGATACGAGAGGTTGGTCATGGGATAAGAAACAATAATCCCTCATTTTTTTTTTTTTTTTTGCAAGTTGCAGAAAATCGTGGTACCGGAGCACCACATTCAAAATTTTTGTTATAGAGGTGAATCCTTGTTCTATGTCCGCACAGAATTGCTTATAAAGAAGCACAATCTGGCAATAAAAGGGAGTTTAAAAAAACAGATTTTAAAAAGAAATCAAAAAAAAGGAAAGAAAGCTGTTCTTTACTTGCATTTCTGGATGAACTTTAAAGAGACTAATTTATAAGCCAGAAACACTTTTCACATTCCCTCCTGCATGCTCCAGTTTTTGCCACCTCGCAGCTGTCCCAGAGGCTCTCATATGCCAGATCCCCAAACTCTTCTCCAATCTCTTGACAATATTGTTCCTCTCTCTCCTCCGCCCTCGCCGTGCCTACTAGTTCTTTACTATTTTGACTGACTTGCCTTCTCTGGCTAAGCGCTCTCTCCTTTTCTGTCCATGTCTCAGTTTTGATGTCTGTCCTTCCTCGTTCTGTTGTACCAGACAGGAGCCATAAACCAGGAAAGCCACTCCTGGAGTGCACATGTGGCTGTCACGAAGGGAGGAGAGTGAAATGGGAAGAAGGTGAATTCACATATTAATAAATCTTGTCCCACTCAGATCTATGTGGCACAGGGTCACTGCCTCCGTCCAGACGTCTGAGCCTACCCCCAGCTGTTAGGAGTCAAGAAGACTGAATCATGTCTGGTTTAAAGAGAGTCGTAGGGTAAGGGAGGCAGAGAGTAGCTTTTTCTCAAGAGAGAGAGTGGCTGCCTCTCACTAATGAAAAATGGCAGTCCCTCTTTCATGGTCAAAGAGAAAAGCTAGTAGGATAAGGGATCTGCAGAGGAATGACCAAGGCTTCCTCTAGGGGACAAAATGTTAAAGGCATGAGTTCCGCTTTCCCTTTAGCTCAGGCAGGGCTAATGAGGGGATTAAATGGAATAACATGAAACACACCCCCTCCCCCCGACCCATACTTCTCTGATATTACCTGAAATGTCACCAAAACTAAGCCAATTTGGGTTATCAACCCAAATATATATGTGTGTGTGTTACATGCCTAAAGCCCTGGGGAGGTTGTCACTGATGAAGGAGTTCTAGAAATTTGCTTTCCCAACACCTCATGAGAAAACAAGCCCAAGTGTTGATGGGAAGGGAGGGGGTGGGTTCAGAGGCTGAGGGATGCTGGAAGCTGGGAGTGGAGGAGGCTGACTATGAAGCTGGAAAAGACACTAAGTATGGAGGGACGCAGGAAGGAAGCGGGCGGAGATGAGGAGGGAGGCAGAGCCCAAGCTGGAAGTAAGTCAGAGAGGCCCGGATGTGGAGCCAAACAAGGGGAGCCTGGCCAGGCTGAAGAAGGCTAGAAACTCCCTGAGTGGACACTGCCTGCCACGTGTCTGTAGTTCTGGTCTCCCCAAAAGAAGACAATGTTCCAGACCCTCCAGTGGCAGAAGCGGGAGCTGGACCATCGACCGGGTTGTTGAAAGAGTTTAAACCAAAAGCATTGTTACCATAAAAACAGAAACAGCAGTTCTGCAAAATACAACTTGTTCCCTCTAAAAAGTCTCTGAAGATCCACACAGAAAACCAGGGGCAACAGGAAGTGAGGAACAGGATCCAGAAGAGGGAGTCGGCAACGAAGCATGACAGAGGTTAAAGAACGCGGTGCGCAGCAAAGCCTTGGAAAAACCACCATTGGAAGGAATACCGGGATTAAAGGATGTGAATCGGTGAGATTAACATCACACAAGTAAACCATTCTGAAGTGTCTTGAAAGCAAAGCGAGGGGCGCCTGGGTGGCTCAGTCGTTAGGCGTCTGCCTTCGGCTCCGGGCGTGATCCCGGGATCCTGGGATCGAGCCCCGCATCGGGCTCCCCGCTCCGCGGGAAGCCTCCTTTTCCCTCTTCCGCTCCCCCTGCTTGCGTTCCCTCCCTCGCTCTTTCTCTGTGTCAAATAAATAAATAAAATCTTTAAAAAAAAAAAAAAAAAAGAAAGAAAAGCGATACAGTAAGAACTCCAATCATTTTGCGGGCAAGGCAGAAAGGCAAGACGTGATTTTCCTGGGCCAAATATGTCAGCCAGAGAGGGTGATCTATTTCGATTGTAAATAGGTTAACAAAAGGCTGGAGAACAAAAGAAGACGTTGGGAGGCCTCAAGGGTGTTTCCTTTCCTTTGTTGATTTCCCTACTGTTAAGAGTATTCATAGGTTTACTTACGACCTTGGTCCCCCCCACCAGCTCTGTTTTTCTCCTAGGTTCTCACTTTGAATTTTCCTATGATGGAATTTCAGAAACAGAAGCACAGGCACTGAGGAAGGCTCTGTGGTGTGAGGTGTTGGGTGGTGAGTCTGTCTTTCCTACAGAATCCGCTCCTGTCTACTATGCAGCCTGAGGCCTAAGGGCTGCGCCTCTCTGCGTGCTCAGCACCTTGCCTTAGCATTTGGCATGTCGTGTGTACTCAGGACACATTTGTTGACTTTAACTGAATCTAAACAATTAGACTTTGACTGAATCTAAACAACCTAAACAATTAGGGAGACATTTAGGAGTGCTACCGACCACTGTGAAAACACAAGAACATACATTTTACAAAATTCTAAGAGAATGAGCAAACAAACCACGGTGGCTACTTACAATATAACCCAAAATGTCCCTAGAAATCGGAAAATGAGAAGACATGGCAAGGTGGGAAATGTGACACTGATGTCAAAAAGGGACAGACCCTGACATTACCAACTGACTAATGTTAAACTAGTATGAAAATCCATTATTTGCTCAGATGACTATCAAGTCCCACCATATGTAGAAAGCTCCAATAAAGTTTTATCAATTGATTACTTGCAAATCTGTACACTGGAAGGTGCGTCTTCAGTAATGCAAAACATTTGCTGTAACTTCCTATGTAATGTTTACAAAAATGATATCAGCTATAGTAGTAAGAAATTATTCAACATTCTTTAAGTATCACTCAAGGAAATTTCAACAGAGAAGAATTGGGTGGTGTATAGTAAATGCGGAAATCTCAAATTATTGACTTGATAAAAATAAACAATACAATTCCTTGGGAAATTACTGTTTTCACATGTGAAGTTTTCTCAAAGAAAATGGCTGGGTTAGGAGTGCCTGGGTGGTTCAATCAGTTAAGCATCCAACTCTTGATTTGGGCTCCGGTCATGATCTCAGGGTCATGAGATCGAACCCACATTGGGCTCTGCGCTCATCAGGGAGCCTACTTGGGATTCTCCTTCTCCCTCTGCCCCTCCCACACCACACCCCCCACCGCAGTCGCTCACTCTCTCTCTCAGGTAATAAATAAATAAATCTTTAAAAAAAAAAAGAAAGAAAGAAAAGAAAAGAAAATGACTGGGATTAGGTGTAGCACCGCCTCCTCCACAAATCACCTCTTGCTTCTCCTGGTTATAGTTATCACACTTGATTGTCATGGTGTGTTTCTCTTTCTCTATCCTCTACTCTATGTGGAATTCTGGAATACACAGGTAATGTCTTATTCGGTGATATATCTAGTACCTTCCACGATGCTTAATGCACATCACATAGTAGGTATGCAATAAATATTTGTTGCATGTATGAATAAAGGCAAAGGTGTGCCAAGTAAGGGACACAAATTAATTTAAGGAGGAATATTATAAGCCAAGCATTTATGGATTTATTTGTAATTAAAAAAGATTAACACAGTCCTGTAGTATCTTGTTGGTAAGCAAGTTTGTCATTTTTTGTACATTGTCCTTTATGGCTTTGTTTTCAAATGAAAAGAATGGGTTACTTGCTCAAGACCAGTTATTGTCATTGCATCCTTCCCAGCTCAAAATATTCGAATTCACCCAGACCACAGCCAAGTCATTTGTTTGCTACTAAAATATTTATGTACATTTATCCTAACTCCCCAACCTCAAATTTTACATCTAGAAAGTAGGTGGATTTATAGGAACTAAAAAGTAGTAGCATAAATATGACTAAAAAAAACCCCACCAATACCCAGTAAACACACTTGGCACTCTGACATTTAAGAGCAGAAAACTACATGACCTGTATTCTTACCTAAGGATTACATGTGCCAGTGGTTTTATATCTGAAAAAAGTGGCAGCAACAACTTCAAATAATATAGTCAAGAGAGACAAAAAGTTGTATATGCTCATAACCGAGGGCACGTCACTAGAGAGAAACACGATTTCAAGGAAGAAGTGAAAGTGTTCAGAATGAATAGATTTGCTTAATTGTTAGTGAAACAGACTCCCATTTTATTCTGGAATAATAGCCTAAGGAAATTCTTCAAAGACCCACCATTTCTGACAATCATGGGATGGGAAAATCAAAACACATTTCTACCCCTAAATTTCTAGGAAGATAACTCTGTGCTTATCTCGAGTAGCCCATGCCTTGATGGTGCTTGGTCCACAGTAAATTCTAAATCTTTGTGAAGTGAATGAACATTACAAGAATAACAGAAACTCAACTATTCCTATTCATAATGCATATATATGAGGAGGTTTAATATTAATAAGAGATAAAACTGTTGGTTCTAGTGTGGATTCTGAGTAGATAGGCCTCATTACCAAAAGGAATTATCACGAAGACTTCTGTGTAGATTTCATGTGGTGCACGGGTACGCAGGTGGTACTAAGTCATGTCTGCTCACCGTGTTCTCTTCACACCAGTGTGTGTCCTCCACTCCTGCTTCATGGCTAACAGATTCGTTTCTCCCGATTCGTATCTAGAAAGGTGTTCATTTATAACGCACCCTCTAGGGCTGCTGGAGCAGAAACCTCCTTCCACTCACCGTAGATTGGAGGCCTGCCTTCTTCTTACAGTCAGTCAGTTGGGATAAAACAGCACAGACATGGGCTCCACAGTGGCCCTGGGCGTCCAGGAGAAATGTTTTCTGCTTGCTCTCTGTTCTCTTCTGACTGTCGGTAACCAGAGGTCAGCAAACTCTTTCAACTCAGAAGTGCCACAGAGGACGAGAAATTTCCACAGGTGCTCCTGGCAGATTTCAGGAAGAAGCAGAGGAGGGGAAATAAAAGGGGAAGATTAGGAGGGAAGTGTTTCTTTTTCTCACGAAAACCACTTTTGAAACGAGACCTCTGAAAACAGAACTCACCTGAGAGCCAGATAAACAGAAAACAATTTAATTTACTTTTAAGAGGGAGAAATGTGAAAACTTGGTTTTAAAATGAAGGGAAAACACTGACAACTACACCTCAAAGGAACACCTAACAGAAGAGGGAGTCGGGACTAAGAGGCAACTGTGCCGTTTGCAAAGCTCCCAGAGGCAAATTCTAATTCACTGAGTAGTGTAAGGTACTCCTTGGTGGTGGGTGGGGTGGGGTGGATAAGCTTTTACGGGTTTTTTTGTTTGTTTTTTTTTTTAAGATTTTATTTGTGAGAGAGAGAATGAGAGACAGAGAGCATGAGAGGGAGGAGGGTCAGAAGGAGAAGCAGACTCTCCGCCGAGCAGGGAGCCTGATGTGGGGCTCGATCCCGGGACTCCAGGATCATGACCTGAGCCGAAGGCAGTCGTCCAACCAACTGAGCCACCCAGGCGCCCTGGATAAGCTTTTAGTTTAAAAAGGGTGCGGATGTTACTGGAATTGCTCATTGAAAAACATTTACTTTTTATCTAAAATTGTATACAAATTATACATTTAAATACACAAGTATTTATTGGAAGCTTGCTAGGTGCCTAGAAGAAACAAAATAGACTCCATCTCATCTCATGAAGTTTATAGGATAGTGGGGGAATCAAAACTAAAACACAGGTGACCCTCGAACAGCACGGGTTAAACTGCACCTGTCCACTTCCACGTGGGTTTTTTTTCTCCATACAGTACTACGAATATACTTCCTCTTCCTTACAATTTTCTTAACATTTTTTTCTGTAGCTCACTTTATTGTAAGAATGCAGTATATAATACATATACAAAATGTGTGTTAATCGACTATCTATGTTATGGTAAGGCTGCCAGTCAACAGTAGGCTAGTAGTAAAGTTTTTGGGGGGAGTCAAAAGTCATGCGTGGATTTTTAATTGTGTGGGGCATCAGTGCCCCTAATTCCTATGTTGTTCAAGGATCCACTGTAGTTACCAAGTAAATATATGTCAGGCAGCATCAAGTCCTGTGAAGAAAAATAAAAACCAAGTAAAAGGGAACAGAGTGGCAGGATTGCATACAGGTTTTTTTTTAAGATTTTATTTATTTTAGAGAGAGAGAGAGCAAGCATGAGCAAGGGGAGGGACAGAGGGAGGAGGGAGAGGGAGAGGATCCCAAGCAGACTCCACATGGAGCGTAGAGCCCAACCCAGGGCTCCATCTCATGACCCTGAGATCACGACCTGAGCCGAAACCAAGAGTCAGATGCCTAACAGACTGAGCCACCCAGGAGCCCTGGCATATGGTGTTTTAAGTAAGACGGTTGCTCGCCATTCCCTGATTTCTACCTTTCCCCATCCTTTTCCATTCATTCTCCACCCTTCTTTGTTGTGTTCTGTGCTGTGGTATCTCCTAGATGTTCCAGTTATTACTGGCTCCTGGTGCACACCCTTGTGTGGTCTCCTCTCAACTTGACTCCGGACTGCTAGTATGGGGCTGGAGTGACTGGATGTGATGTTCGAGCTAGGTCAGAAAGGGCATCGTAGCTTCCACCTTGGCCTCTTGGGTCATTCACTGGGGGAAGCCAGGCACCACGTTGTGAGCATTCTCAGGCAGCCCTGTGGAGAGGCCCACGTGCAGAGGATCTTCGGTCTCCGGCTGACAACCAGCAACGATTCACCAGCCACGTAAGTGAGCCATCTTGGAAATGGATCCTTCATCCCACACAAGTCTTCAAATAACTGACATCCTGAATGCAGTCTCATGTGAGACCTGGGGCTGGAAACAGGAAAATAAGCTGCTTCCAAATTCCTGACCCACAGAAGGAGATAATGAGGGCTTACTGTTTCAAGCCACTGTATTTTGGAGCAATCTGCTGCACAACCACAGATAACCTCTACAGCACCCAATACTGTATCACCCGGACTCCCTTGGACTCTGGTTTCCAGCTGTGTTTGGCCAATGCACAGACAGTGAGATCAGTGGCTTATTCCTCAGCATTCTGTTCTGGGCAGCCCCAAGGGTCTTCAGCTCTCTTGTGTTCCTACAATACTATTTCTTCCCTTTGCCCCCTCAAGACTAGCTATGGCCTCTGGTCTCACTGTTGGCTTCCTTATTTCGGCACACAGCGAGCAAGTCCTTTCATTCTCCTAAAACTTGTGTGACTTTCATTTCCAACCAAGACTCAGGCTGATACAAAAGGCTTCCTGTAGGTAAGGACATTTAGAGACGTGAAGGAAGTGAGGGAAGCAGGCCTCCTAACAGGTGGGGAAGAGCAGTCCAGCAGGTGCAAAGACTTTGAGATGAGGGAATCTTTGATGTGTTCAAGAACAGCAAGGTCCTCGTAAGAGAGTTACAATGCACAAGTGAGAAATTGTGAGGGTATGAGGATGGAGGGGTAGGCAGGGGCCACATCAGGTCATGGTTGCATTCTGAGTGCTGTGCGCAGCCCTGGGGTGTGTTGGGAGGGGTCTCAACAGGGGCATGACATGACCTAACTTGCCTTGCCTTGTGAGACCAGGGTGGGAACAGGGAGACCAGTCAGGACGCTCCTTTAGAACTCAGAAAGATGACAGAGTGGGTGTGATAGGTAATAAAGGTGGAGAGAAGAGACTGAATTCAGAATATGTTTTGAAGCCAGACCTGTAAGAATCTGCTGCTAAATGGAATGTGAGAGAAGTAAGAGTAAGGAAGACTCCAAAGTGAATGATAAATGCTGGAGCCACTTACTGAGATGAAAACAGGGAGCAGAGGAGGGCAGTTTGGAGGAAGGAGGGGCAGAAATCAAGAGTTGGTTCATTTCATTTTCAAAAGAGGAAAAGAGTAACATGCTGCTGTTAAAAAGGAAGATGAGAGGTTTTTTTTCTCACTTTACAAAACAGAAGATCTCCCCTTACAGAGGAACTTTCCCATTTCCCTGCCTGTTAGGGTATTGCCATTAGAAAAATTTTTTAAAAAATCAAGTAGTGTGTTCTCGGGTTTAGTTATAAATGTGATCAGTTATGGGTCAGTTCTGGCTCCCCAAAGGTCACACTAACTAAATCCAGGAGCCAAGTCTGTTCCCGGGGCCCAGGGTGCCTGTCATCTGTCATAAAACACCATCTGTCTAGCAGCTGAGGATTCTAATTATTAAGTCTGTAAAAGATAATCTCACTGGTTAACCTCACATGATTTCTTTTTTAAAAAATTTGAAATATGACTACCATCAGCCCCAGAAGCAGATGTGACAGGAAACAAGACTCAACAGACACTTCCGTTCTTCTTGGGACAGCACCCTTTGCCCCATTTCTGCCGTTCAGGGCTCTTCTACCATAAAAGCAGAGCTGTGCCCCAAACCCCCACAAGACACTCACCTGCTTACACAACATCAGTTACCTGCCTTTCCTGTGCAGACCTGAGATTTTAGAAAGAACTGGGCAATTCCGTGCTGAGCTTGTGCTGATGGACTTCCCTGTAGGGACTGGCTAAGAGACCAAGTCAGCACCCAGTGCTCTGAGGGGAGAAGGCAACGCCCTTTATCTCCTTGTAATGTTGGCCACACGCTCCCTGGCACCCTTGTCTACAGAGAGCTTTGTGATGCTGGTGCGCGGTTGTCCTGATACCAACAGGCAGCCTTTGTTGTTATTGTTGTTGTTGTATTCAGAATGACCTCTTGCTAAAAATTCTGTAGGCTTCCTGGAAGGGACACAGCCTACTGTGATAAAATGGACTTCTCCCTTCCCCCCCTCTGGTTACTATGACAACTCTGAATGACTGATTTCCTGGTTGCCATGTAAATGCAGTGGGATCCCCGCCACTGCACCACACAAAGACGTCAGTAAGAGTAGTAAGAAAACAAAAATCATATTTAAAAAGACAAAGAGTTTCATCGCAAGCCTTTTTCTCACACAAAGGCAGAGGAAAGGAACCAGTTGTAATTCGAAATGGTGCTCTTCCTGAGGTAGGAGTGTGTCTCTCCCTCACTGGAGGGAAGACTGAAAAAGAAGGGGAAATCCCTCCTTTGTAGTGGAGTTGGCATGGTGACAGGAAGACAGATGCCACTCTCAGGTGGCAGGAACCCCTCAGTAATCAGCCTGAGTCCCACAGAGAGGAAATCTGAACTATTTAACTAGAGTGGAGGAATCAATTTGAATTGAAAACAAAATAAAACAAAGAACAAGTCTCTTGAACATTGTTTAGAATGAGTTTTATAATTTTAGAATTAAGATTCCAAATGCTTCAATTTAATATTTGCTTGACAATGAATTTTGGTTTCTCTTCAATAACTTTGGAGACATAAAATTCAGTTATTTTTCTTTTTTTTTTAAAGTCTTTGTAACATCCTGATAAAACCATATGCCAAATACTAATTCAGATTTCTATGATTTTCATAGCCTGGGTGTTAATTGTGTTTAGTAATACCTATAATAAACACTGGCATGAAAATCTATGTGATATATTTTGTATTACTCTATGTATACAAAAACTAAATTTGTGGATAACTCACCTCTTTGACTTCTCATCATATCTTAGAACCAAATGGTTTAAAATTAATCTGTTGTTTCTTTTCCAGAAAAATCTTTCTACCTTTGACTCATGTTTCATATAAAGGTTTTCAAAACCTAATCGGGCAGAATTTCCATAGGTTTGCTGAAAAACACATATAGAGAGAGCTATTGGTGCTTTACTATTAATTTTTGGCAGTTGAATCACAAGGTAATTGTTTTGAATGCCTATCTTGGGGAAGGTTGGAGCTGCAATGAGCTAAAGCCTCCCATGTTTTATAGATGCTAGAGAAGTGACACCAGGAGATAAATTTCTGTGCCTGGGGTACTCCAGGGTACAAAGCAGACAAAGCCAGGCCCAGTAACTGCACTTCTTAATATTCTTTCTGGCATTCAACCCTGCCTCATCGCAAAAGCCGGCATGTTCCAAACTGCGTCAATAAGTGTTGCACAAGGTAAAAAGTTGGGGCAGGAAATTCAGAGCTCAAATAATTTTGCGAAATCTTAGGTTAAAGAATGTTAAGTGGGTTTATTTACTGTACAGCTTCTCAGTGATTTTGATATTCCAGTGTCTACGGTGATTCTTCAGGAAGGGGCTCTAGATAATATGCTGTTTCCCAAATGAATCTGACCATGGAGTGATGTCGTCACAGAATATCTCTAATTCTTCAGAGCATACTTTGAGAATGCTGGGCCATATTTCTTTAAATTCTAATTATAACTTAAAGATACACAAATGTTTATTTATGATTTAAAATTACAAAATTTTAAAAAGTGATTGGCTCCATGTGATACCCTAATTTAGCCAATAGATTCTAAAGAAAGCCAAGAGAAAATTTAAAAAAAAATTTTTTTTGAAGAATCCAGGATAAATTAGGTGTCTTTTAGAATATTTATTTTGAACCTGAGCATATGAGCAAATCTTTTTCTTGTCAAGATGTTACTGTTGCATCTATAGGCATAACAGGTGAAATTCTCTTAACAATAAGCCCCGTAAGACCTTTCAATTGTTTCAGCAAAAGTTTTGGCAAGGAGCAAAGAGGGATGCGAGTGATGCCTCCACTGGGGGTGGGGGGAAGGTCAGCTGGAGTTGCTGTGGATTCTCTTGGGAAGGAACCACCAATGCTTAAGGGACTTTTTGGGACTGAGTTCCCTTCCATAGAGATTTTGGGGCTTCCATCTGACCACACTGACTCTTTATAAGACTACTCTTTCCCCTCCCCTGCAACCAACCAGCTGTGAGAAACAAGTGTTGCCAGCGGCCTCATTACCACTGAAGACAAAAGAGAAAAGTGACAAAGGGAACCTTCTCCTGCTCCGCTTCCTCCTAACTCTGATCCTTTGAGAAGGGGACCATGTCAGGGGTGACTGGGTGGCTCAGTCAGTTGGGCATTTGACGCTTGATTTCAGCTCAGGTCATGATCTCAGGGTCGTGAGATCGAGCCCTGCTTCTGGCTCCTTGCTCAATGGGGAGTCTGCTTGAGATTCTCTCCCTCTGCCCCACCCCACTCCTGCATGCTCTCTCTCTCTCCCTCTGTCAAATAAATCAATCTTAAGAAAAAAAAGAAGAAGAAGGGGACCATGCCAGAAAGCAGATGCACCCCCAACCCAGCCTTCTCCAGTGTGCCCTGGAGAGGGGTTTGTGCCAAATATGAGATAGTTAACAGGACCGGATTGTCTTAACAAACGGAAGTGATGGAAGAGTTCTGGGACAGAATGAACTATTGTTAAGGGAGCTTGCTACCCAGAGGGAAAGGAGAGCCGACTGGAACAAAGTGGGTTAGCAGCCATGGGAAAGATAAAATGGGTCCATGTTTTTACCTCAACAAGTTGAGGGTCTTCGATCAAACTGGCCAAGTAGCCGGGACAGCCATGTAAACAATGTAGGAGCACAGAGGGGAGAAACTGAGAAGAGGAAGCATAGAGACAAGAGAGATTTATTTTGCCTGGATTACCAGGAGAACCTTTAGAACAAAGTTAGCAATTGAGATGGTGGCTGAGGGCTCAGTAAAAGAAAAGGGGTAACTGTCCGTTCAGAATGAGGGTGGGAAAGAGTATGACTTATTCTGTGAACCATGAATGGTTTCTGAGACAGGGAGGAGAAACTGCAGGTCTTGGACATTTCTCTGTGGTGTGGCATAGTGGGAGCAAATGGCCGGGCTGTATTGGTGAGGTACTCTGTGGATTGCAGAGGTTGCCTGGGATCAGTTTGGGAAGTACCTTCTACGACATTTCAACCAGTGTGGAAAAATGAGAAGCACAGAAGATTTTAGTCAGAGGACTGATATAACCCAGATTTGCATTTTGGAAAAACTATTCCATGATGATGTGGAGTAGGCTTCTTTGAAAGGGGGTAGGGTAGAAGATGAGAGCAGAGCAGACACACAAAATATTTGAGTGGTTTCCATAGCACGAAAATCTGAGAATGTCTTGGGAGGAGGTCACAGGGGGAGAAGAGCAGGAAAGAGGAGGTGAGGAGCACTCTCAAGAGCAAAACAACCACAGTGGATGGTTGTGCCTTCGTCTATCCATTCAACAACTATTGATTTGCATTAGTATAAAAACAACATCTCTTCCCTCCCTTTGTCCTGAAGACCTTCCCTGTGATTCACAGTAAGAATAGTACTGATTGGAATCACCTGAAATAGTTCAGCTACTTATAAGTTAATTGTGTTGTTGGTCTCTTCTGCTTTCTAACAACATGGGTCTCTTGCGACGGCATCTCAGTCTGTTACTTTAGTGGCACCAAGATTTTTTTTTTTTTTTTGTCTGTCTTCAGTTTTGGCTATAACTGTGCTCTGGGAAAAAGGGTCACAGAGGGGCCATCTGTCTGGCAACACCGGCCAAATTTAATAAATTAATTGTGGGCCCCGAACAGGTCCATGACTATTCTGGTGGGACATCAGGAAATGCCACTCCTGCGCTGGGACAGTAAGTGGCCCGCTTCTCAGCGATTTTGTTTAGGTGTGCAGAGCTCTGTGGCTGATGCAAAAGAAATTCTGCCTGCCAATCACAGGTTCAGTTACTGACTTTGACAGCTCTAGAGGATGTAGAAAGAAGAAACACCGTTAACTGCTCTCGCGAAGACCTGAGGAAGAGGTTTGCCCTCACTTTCTTTACAAAAATAACACATATTAAAATCAGAGGTTTAGGAAACTTATTTGAAGACATCAACTCCAGACTAAAAGATTCTAATTGTACCTTCTTTCATAAGTCCCTGTGTCTAGACTAGATAATATCAGGACAATTGTCTCATATCTGAATAAGCTTTTAGTGTCCTGGCTCTGAATAGGAGAGTTTTTCCAAAGACCTCAATTTCATTACTGTTTAGGTCAGGAAAGGGCGAATAAGCATGACATCATGGTGTCCATGTAGGTTAGACAAAAAAGGAGGCCTTTTACACAATGAGAAAATAAAACGCAGTGGAGTAAAAACCTCCTTAGGCGGAATGTTCAGAGGTTAGCATGTTTCCCTTGATGGGACTTTCTGGGTGCAATGTGTGAAGAGTTAACTCATGTTAAATGTCTTTCTTAAATACGTTAATATGTACTTCATATTTTGCTTGCTTTATTTCCTCTTAATAATTCTGTTGAAATGTTATCATGACGTCTGAAGCCAGATTACCTGGGTTCAAATCCTGGCTCCACCACCTACTGGCTGTGTGACCTCCCCGCTGTGCTTCGGTGTTCTCCTCTGTAAAATGGGGTGTTAGGACCTTCCTCCCAGAGTCCTTGTGAGCTTCCTGTGAATGAACATAGCACCATGAGGGGCTATTTTCCTGGCAGAGCCTCTGCACATGGGGTTCCCAGACCTGGGCAAACATCAGAATCCGCTGGGGAGATATCTTAAATACAGATTCCTGGGTCCACTGCCACAGATTGTGATTCAGTCTGTCTGGAGATGGGCTTGTTGCAGCCGATTCATGCAGCGGCCGTTAAGAACCCCAACTTAAAACTCTGACTCCTGTGATGCAATCCTTATTCTTCCCCCCTATTCTCTTGAGCTTCCCCCATGTCCCGTTGTCCGCTAATGGCAAATCTCAGATTTTGTAGCATTTGGTGGATTTGCCTACCAATGGTGGACCTCTATTGAACTACCCATCTTCTTACTAAACTGGGATCATATTATATATGTCTGGCCACTTGTCAGGG